CACCCCCTCCCCTCTAGAACCCTCAGTTTGTTTTTCAGAATCCATCGTCTCTCATGGTTCGTCTCCCCCTCCGATTTACCCCCCTTCATTCTTCCCCTCCTGCTATCTTCTTTTTTTTTTCTTAACATATATTGCATTATTTGTTTCAGAGGTACAGATCTGTGATTCAACAGTCTTGCACAATTCACAGCACTCACCATAGCACATACCCTCCCCAGTGTCTGTCACCCAGCCACCCCATCCCTCCCACCCCCACTCCAGCAACCCTCAGTTTGTTTCCTGAGATTAAGAATTCCTCATATCAGTGAGGTCATATGATACATGTCTTTCTCTGATTGACTTATTTCACTCAGCATAACACCCTCCAGTTCTATCCACGTCGTTGCAAATAGCAAGATCTCATTCCTTTTGATGGCTGCATAACATTCCATTGTGTATATATACCACATCTTCTTTATCCATCCATCTGTCGATGGACATCTTGGCTCTTTCCACAGTTTGGCTATTGTGGACATTGCTGCTATAAACATTGGGGTGCACGTACCCCTTCGGATCCCTACATTTGTATCTTTGGGGTAAATACCCAGTAGTGAACTCTTGATTCTTTACAAATAATAAGAATAGTATAGTGGGGACTTAGTCATTAAGCATCTGCCTTCAGCTCAGGTCATGATCCCAGGGTCCTGGGATCGAGCCCCGCATCAGGTTCCCTGCTCCTCGGGAAGCCTGCTTCTCCCTCTCCCACTCCCCCTGCTTGTGTTCCCTCTCTCTGTCAAATAAATAAATAAATAATCTTTAAAAAAAAAAGAATAGTATAGCTAATACTTACTGAGCTTACACTATGTTCCAGATCCTATCCTAAACACTTTACATAGATTAACTTCTTTTAATTTTTGTAAAATCCCATAAGGGAGAAACTATTATTAATTTCATTTTATGGATGAGGAAACTGAGGTATACTGAAATTATCTTGTTCAAATTCATAGTTAGGAAGGGGGGAAGTCAGGATGATTACCTAGGGAATCTTTCTCTGTAGCTTTCCTTTTTGAAAAATTTAGTTTTATCACGGTCTAATTTAGATAAAGTAAAAAATCACCCTGCTATTTGAACAGTTCGACAAGATTTGACAAATGCATACACAGTCAAGATATAGAACATTTTCATCACCTCAAAAAGATCTCTTGTCCCCTCTGTAGTCAGTTCTCTCTCTGCCCCCAGCCCTTAGCAACCACTAATCTGTATAGTTTTGTCTTTTGAGGAATGTCATATAAATGGAATCATATAGTACTTAACCATTTGTTTCTGGCTCCTTTCACTTTGTGTAATGCTTTTGAGATTCACCCATGATTGCTTCCACAGCTCCTTTTTTGTGCTAAAAGCATGTCTTTGTACAAATATATCACAATTTATTCATCCATTTATCCATTGATAAACATTGGTCTGTCTATGATAAAGATGCTCCGAAGCTGCCCTTAACCTGTATTCACAGGTGTTTGCATGAACGTGTGCTTTCATTTATCCTGAGTAAATACCTAAGAATCGGATTTCAGGGTCATACACTAAGTGCGTATTTGGCATCACAACACACTGTCAACTGTTTTCCAAAGTGGCTACCCCATTTTGCATTCTGACAGACTTCCAGTTGCTCTGCATCCTCTCCTGCCCTTTGTATGGCCTTTTTAGTCTTAGCCATTCTAGCAGGTGCATGGTGGTAACTCATGGTGGTTTTAATTTGCATTTCCATAATTACCAGTGATGTTGAACATCTTTTCATGTTCTTATTGCTATCTTCTCTCAGCTTTTGTTTGAGAAAGCCTTATTTCACCTTCATCGTAGAAAAATGTTTTTCCCGGATATTGAATTCTATGCCAAAAGTTTTTTTTTTTCTCTCTCAGTATCTCAGAAATGCTCCTTTGTCTTATGGCTTGCACAGTTTCTAGAGATATCTGCTCTTTGTTCCCTGTATATCATCTCCCTTCTTTTTTTTTTTAAAGATTTTATTTATTTATTTGACAGAGAGCGTGAGAGAGGGAACACAAGCAGGGGGAGAGGGAGAGGGAGAGGGAGAAACAGGCTTCCCAGCGAGGAGGGAGCCCAATGCGGGGCTCGATCCCAGAACCCTGGGATCATGACCTGAGCCGAAGGCAGACGCTTAATGACTGAGCCACCCAGGCGCCCCTCATCTTTTCCCTTCTGCCTGCTTTCAGGATTTCATGTTTATTTTTGGTTTTCAGCATTTGACTATGATGTGTCTAGGTGTGTTTTTTGTTTGTTTTGTTTGCTTTTTAATTTTTGTTTTTAAATTTATTTGCTTACTATTTGCTGATATTCTTAGATCACCTATCATTGACTTGAGAGCATTCTTAGCCATTGTCTCTTCAAATATTTCTTCTGCCCCCTACTCTTTTTCTTCTCTTTCTGGAACTCCGATTGTTAGATCATTTGATGTTGTCCCACAGCTACTGGATGATCTGTTCTGTTTTTAGTTTTTTTTTTTTCCCTGCTTCTTTTTTTTCCCTCTTTGCTTCATTTTAGATGATTTCTATTGACCTATTTTCAAATTTATTGACTCTTTCCTTAGCTGTGTGTAGTCTGTTTATGAGCCCATCAAAGAAATTCTTCACCTCTGATATTGTTTTATTTCTAACATTTACATTTGACTCTTAACTTTACATGTCTCTGTTGGAATTTCTAATCTGTTCAGGCATGTTGTCCATCTTTTCCAGTAGATCTTTACAGTGTTAATCATGTGGCCCCTGTCTAATAGCTCTAACATCTCCATCATTATTGAGTCTGATCCTACAGATTGTCTTATCGCTTGACGACGAGTCCCCTTTTTTTTTGCTGCTTCTTTCCTTCCTTACTTGCATGTTTTATGTGTGTGTTATAATGTTTTGTTGACTGCCATACACTGTGTGTAGAAGAACAGTGCAGACTGAGTAAATAGAATTTACACCTGGAAATGGGCAGGACTGTTTAGTGTGGGGACTGAGCCATTATATCAGATGAGCTGGGTTTGGGTATTGTTTCTGTTTTTACCCTCGGTGCACACCAGGCTTCAAGTTCTTCCAGCAATAGGCTGCTGTTACCTTGTGCTTGGTGTGGAGCCTGGGATACCAGTGGGTTTTTTTGTTTTTTTCCAGTGTTTCTATTCCACCTTTAGCTTTGAGTAGTTCCTATGTGCCTTTGCCAAAGAAGGGATCTTTCTCTGCACTCCTTCCCCTCCCTCAATGGTAGACTACTATTGCTTGTTCCTTGGTGCTGTGCTCCTGGTGAGCTGAGGGGGGGTTCTTGGGCCTCCTGCCTCATCCTCAGTCTTAAACAGGACATTACTGGGCCTCAGAGGTAGGGCCTTTTCAGCATTCCCACACACCCCCTCCCTCGCCAGCAGTCAAACCCTGCCTTGTATCTGTGGTGGCTCTCGGGAAGAAGAGAATTTCCTGCCCCTCCCTCGGGGGAAGCAGACCTCTGCTTTGCATTGGTGCAGGATCTGGGGGCTCAAGGCAACCAGGGGCTGATGGCTTTTGCCTCTGCTTTTCCCTTGGAAACAGTGGATCTGCCTGGTTACTTTGGCAGGAAGGAGAGAGTCTCCCGCTCCCTCCACAGAGGCAAACAGATTTTGCTTCTACCCCTCCAGTGGCTCTGGGAGCAAGAGGGTTTGCTGCTCCTCCCACAGCCACTTGAGGCTTTTACCTCTTTTGGGAGGAAGGTCCAGGAAGCGGTCAGTGTTTCACACCTGTCCCCCAATAGCCGTGGGGGCGTCCTGTATGAGTGCCACCCAGGGGGACTCTTTGCAGTCAAATGCTCTACACTGAGCTCTGCCCCGCCCAGGGGGACTCTTTGGGCTCCTTCCCTATCCCAGTCATTCTTGTGGGCCCTGGGTGGAGGTCTGCACAGAGCTGCTTGCAGGTGAGTGTGCCTGTTGTGCCTGGGGCCCCTGCTCATTCTAGACTGAGAGGCTAGCCCATGCTCGACCTCTTAGCTCCTTTCTTCTGCCTTGCTTTTTTGGTGGCCCCCTCTTCCTCTCATGCTCTATTAAAGATGAAACACTTTGTGCGGCCTGACTCTCCTCAGAGGGGCTTCTTACTTTTTAGAGTTAAATTCTCTTGGTTGTCTTGACACTTCAGCCTTCTGAAGGGTTGAAGAAGAGTTTTGAGCTTCTTGTTCAGATAGAAGCAGCATTCTCTTACTGCCTTCTACAAACCGAAAAGAAGCTTTTAAATCCCAGTCCCTCTCAAGGACTTTCATTTCCAGGATCTTGTTTACACCTCACTGATGAGGATACAGTGAAGTGGTTGTATCCCCTTCCTAGAACCCACCAATCAAAAAGGGGAGTCCAGAGAAACCAAATGTGCTTCGTGCAGAGTGATCAGTACCAAGTGTTTCCCCCTGTGCAGAGTCACTTGTGCCACGGTTTCCTGCTCGATGAGTGTGTGTGGACCCTCACATGAGCATTGCACCCCTAAGATACCGGGGGCGTCCAAGCAGCTGTAAAGCCCTTCTCTTTTTACGGCTTTACCTCATCAAGTGTCTCCCTGCAAAGAGGCCCCCGTGTTTTCATGTGCTTCATCTCATCTGTCCTCACGCATTTGTGTGATACAGGAACAGGTGGTGGCCTCTCCATCCTCCAAACCAAAAGAGACAGGAGTTCTGGAAGTGAAGTGCAGCCCCTGGGATCACATAGCCCAGCTGGTCCCGAACCCAGACTCTCTGACTCCAGCCCGACCCCCATGTAGGCTGAGCCACCCTGCTGCGTGCTAATTCTAAGGTCTCCTGGGCAAAAAAAAAAAAAAAAAAGCCTCCACAGTCATTTGTTCGGGGTTTAAGCTATTCATTCTGTGATTTGATCCTGAAACATAAGACAGTCTGGTTTTGTAGACGAAAAATAATATCCCAAACTGGATCATGTTGGTTAGGAAGAGTTTTGTTTGTAACAGGTTGGAAAGCGAGCCCCAGGCTGTGCCCCAGGCTGAGGGCCAGTGTCCTTTTGTCTCCCACAGCTCTCGTTGGCGCCTGCGGAGGGAACTACTCGGCTCTGACCTCCGTGGTGTATTCCCCTGACTTTCCAGACACCTACGCCACGGGGAGGGTCTGCTACTGGACCATCCGGGTTCCAGGAGCCTCCCACATCCACTTCAGCTTCACCTTGTTTGACATCAGGGACTCTGCAGACATGGTGGAGCTGCTGGACGGCTATACCCACCGCGTCCTGGTCCGTTTCAGTGGGAGAAACCGCCCGCCTCTGTCCTTTAACGTCTCTCTGGATTTTGTCATTTTGTATTTCTTCTCCGATCGCATCAATCAGGCCCAGGGATTTGCTGTCTTATACCAAGGTAACCCTTCTCAGCCTCCTGGGGGGCCCTCCAGGCTGCACCTCGGGCTTTGCTGGGCGCACTGTGGTGACCTGCGGGCCTCGGGCAGGTCTTGATGGGGCTGCAAGGCAGGAGCTACTGACTCAACTTGTGGATTTTCCCACCTCCCATTTCATACATTTACAGAAAAGAGGCGACGCCTGTCAGTTTCGCTACTTTAGTTGTTCTGATGACAGTTGTCATGGCACGGTTGAAAGAAGAACTAAAAGGAGGAGCTGAGACTGATAGAATTAGAAGGCTTTAAAAAGGTCATCTGGCCCATCCTCCTGCCTCCTGATATCTCTGTCAATCCCAAAAGACTAGTTTCTCATCTTTCTTCGAACCCTCCTAAGGGACACCTGGCTGGCCAGGTTGGAAGAGCGAGTGACTCTTCATCTCAGGCCATGTGTTAGAGCCGCACATTAGGTGTAGAGCTTACATTAAAAAAAGAAACTTTAAAGAAGAAAACAAACAACAACAACAAAAACCCCAATATACCTTAAAAAAAAACCAACTGTCCTAAGATGGAGCCCCACTCTCTGCCCCTGTGATGTGCACACACATGTGCCAGGCACATCTCTCCGCCAGCACATGAGAAACAGGGGCATCTGAGACCTGGTCCTTGTCCCGGATGCCGAGGGCCCCGGGAAGAATTCAGTCAGCGTGTGCTACAGGAAGTCAGAGAGAGGAGGCCTTCCCGTAGGTGGGAGGGACAGTCTCGAGACCAGGTGGGATTTGGGTCAATAGATAGGAAGTAAGGAGGCATTCTGGGCAGAGGGCACCATAACAAAAGGCACAAGGAAAGCAAGCAAGCAGGCTCAGGTGTCCTCAAAGAGACCAGTCAAATGGTTAAAAGTTGACAGCCCCTTCTTCTGGCACTTTCTGGGCCAGAGCCTGACAGGTTCTGCTTTGGGGCCAGTGGGGTCAGTGGAGAAAACTGCACGCAGAAATGAATCAAAAAAACACCCTCTCTTCCTAGCCAGTGCGTCCTCCTCCGAAGTTCTCTGTTGTCTCCATCAGCTCTCCCCCCTCTTAATTTCTTTGATCTTCCAGCCGTCAAGGAAGAGACGCCTCAGGAGAGGTCCACTGCCAACCAGACGCTGGCCGAGGTGATCACAGAGCAGGCCAACCTCAGCGTCAGCGCAGCCCGGTCCTCTAAAGTCCTCTACGTCATCACCACCAGCCCCAGCCACCCACCCCAGACCGTACCAGGTAGCAGTTTCCAGACACCAGAAAAGGGGGTGGAAGCCACGGGGCTTGAGGGCAGTGTTCTTGGCAGTTAGAGAAGGAACTCTCTTCCCAGGCAGGTTGTGGGTACTGGCTCTGTGACTGTCCTGGCCTTTGAGGGACATTTTCTCATTAGCTTGTTTCCTCAGTCCTTAGGAGAAAGTGCTCACCTCCAAAGATCCAGCACGTGTGCCTTTTGCAAGTTGTGATTAATCAGCCAAGCCAGTGTTTTCCCACTTTGAGGATGTCTTTCTAGAGCTCCCAAGGTGCAGCTCCCTAAATTCACTGGCATATACAAGAGCTTCATTCATTCATTCATTCATTCATTCAAAAGACATGTAAGTGCTTCAGGGGTGTCAAGTACTATTGTAGGCACCGGACTATAGAATGAACCAAACAAACAATATCCCTGCCCTCCTGTGGCTTATAAGTGGTAAGAGAAAGACAAGAAGCAAAATAACAGGTCACATAGTGACGAGCTAGAAGAAAAGTCATGCAGGAGAGGGATAGAGAGGGCGTAATGGTCTGTGGTTGAAGCTGGCTAACTTAGCTGCATACTTCCATATTCTCTTTTCTGCCTGGGAAGACCTAGCCTAGGGGTTTTACCCTGCAGGACCCACCCTAGGAGAGTCCTTCCAATGCGTGCTCTGCGTTGCTTGTTTTTATATCCTGGTAGGATTTCACAGGTCACACGTCTCATTCCTCAGATAAGGAAACTGAGGCCCAAAGAGTTTATGTAACTCATCTGTGATTGCACAGTGATTCCAGTGGTAAAGACATCATATATACCACTCCTTCCACCTCCCAAGTGGAATGGACTTTGGACCACCCTGCCTGCTTCTCTCCAAGAGGGAGCTCTAGAGCAAGGCGAGGTGGTCAGAAGGCCTGGGGCTCCTTGCCCGCCCAGCTCTCAGCTGCGTTTGGTGGCTGCCCCCACCTGCAGGGGGCTCCTCAGCCAGACCTGCGTCTCTGAGCTGCCAGTGGTGACTTGGGGCTTCCAACAGACCTCCTTCTGAAAATGGAGCTCCAAGAGGTCCAAGAAACCCTGTCTTTTGTACTTGCAGGATGGACAGTGTATGGCCTGGCAACTCTCCTCATCCTTACAGTCACAGCCATTGTAGCAAAGATACTTCTGCACGTCACATTCAAGTGAGTATGAAAGCTGCCCAGTCTCACAAGGGAAAGACTCAGAACTCCTTTTCTACTGTGCTTCATTTGTCTGGATACAACTGTCGTATCAGAACATGAGGCCCAAGCCCTTAGTCCTAGGCAACATGAGGCAGTACGCATTCCTCATTCTCTGTAGAGTGAAATGTACAACTGGACAAATCTCACCAAGGTTTGAGGGATTGTGTTTGCTTCTGGCTCACAGATATGATTTCAAGGAGGATTGAAACAGTGTAGGCTTAAAAAACAACCATTTCCAATTTTTGATTTGTGCTGGCCCCTTAAAGAGATCTTCATGTTAGAAAGATTTCTAAGACACTACCATGCCTATTTCCTAATGCCTTCTAGAAATTGGGAAACATTCTTAGGAAGAGGATCCTAACATTTTATTAGCTATTGCTTAATAATTATTTAAAAACAATTAAGAAGCTTCATCCTTCAATTCTGACTGATATGGAAAAATGATATTTCCTTCCCTTACTTTGCCACTCGGGTTTAACAGTTCTGTCTTCCAGGAAAAGAGGCAGTTATTTATGCTCTTAATGTTTGTGTACTTCCAGTGCTCGCTTTGGCAGCACATATACTAAAATGTTTGTGTACTTCCAGAGAAAAGCTCTGATCTTTTCGAGACCCCTACTCTGTCTTTCCTATGGCTCCCAGTCCAGGCTCTCTCCGCTCCTTTTTGCCCCCAGTTTTATTGAGCTATAATTGATAGACAGGCTCTCTGTATTTCAAAGCCTTTCCTGAACACCGGTGTCTTATAAATCCACCATTTTCCTGACCTTCTCGCTTGCCCTCTGCCACAGAATTTTTAATACGTGAAATGCTGGCTCTGCCACTGCTTTGTGAAGGCTGTCCTTGCAGGCCTCTCTACACTGCACTTTACATTTTTCAGTGGAAACAGTGTCTTTTTTTAGTGTTTACTGAGCTCATCCTCGAGCTTCAGTGTATATACCTACATATTGAAGTCACAATTCACACGGCCTGGGAAAGCCTCTTAGATACAGCAAGAGAGCTGGAGGCTTTCTGTAGGGCCCAGCACCTCACCGCATACCAGGGCCCCACAGCGCATGTCTGACTCCCATGTGACATTGGGGTCCCTCCGCAGCTTCCCTGCCAAGCAGCCCCGGGGTGGGAGGCCTGCCATGGGGGGACAGGGGCACATGTTGGTAGTAAGGCAGGAGAGACTTTGGCTTTATCTTGTTTTAATCAGAGGGGCTTCCAGGTAAATATCATTTAAAGAAAGAGTTCTTCTCTAAAAAAAAATTTGAAAACTCCTCATCTTTCAGTCCAGCCCCTTGCAGATTTGAGTAACTCTTCCAGTTAGAAAGCTCTTTGTTATACTGAACTGGAAGCTGTGCCGCCTTGTTCCCATCCCACGGACACATTTCATTCCCACAATGCCCTTCAGACCTCCAGGGGCAGCTGTTAGGCCTTTCCCAAGGCCTCGCCTCACTGAATGCCCCATTTCATAGGTACAGGTATCTCAGGAGACAGAAGGTTGTTTTGGGATCTTTGTTGCACCCGACTTGAAATATTAAGTTGTTTTTGCTCAACAGATCCCATCGCGTTCCTGCTTCAGGGGACCTTAGGGATTGTCATCAACCAGGGACGTCGGGGGAAATCTGGAGCATTTTTTATAAGCCCTCTACTTCAATTTCCATCTTTAAGAAGAAACTCAAGGGTCAGAGTCAACCAGATGACCGTAATCCTCTTGTGAGTGACTAAAAGCTGCCCCCTCCGAGCCCAGGACATGAGGTCCCTCCGAGCTTGAGGCCACTGGGGGGACCCGTGGTTTCCTCTGACTGACTCTCCCTGCCTCTCTCTCGGCCTCTCTGGCAGCCTCTGCAGGAGTGCCATCCTACGGGCTGGAAAGGGACATCCTGCTGCGGGGGCAGGCCTAGCCTGGACTCCCCCCTGCTTCATCACTGCACTTAGGAGAGAGACCCAAAGTCCCAGGGTCTGGGCCCTCCCTGTGCTTCTCTCTCTCTCTCTCTCTCTCTCTCTCTCTCTCTCTCTCTCTCTCATCTAGAATGGGGGTGTCAGGACAGAGGGCCTGAGATGGCAGAGATGGTTGTGTCTGGCACTGGGCTCAGGTACCTTCTAGATGACTGTAGGGTGGTGGGTAGGTATACTATATGCTGAGTCTTCCCTTGCTTATTTTCTGTTTTGTCCACACAGATCACTTTCTCCCATTCTTTATAGTTTTAAACAGGGATGCTTCTGAGGTTCTCTTGGGGGTTGGCCTTGTCCTATATTCCTGGACATTAGCACCCCAAAGCATAAAGAGGGCCCCTGCTTTGTGCTGACTCTGGGGCTTTGCTCTCTGGGTGCTAGATGAGGATGGGCCTCCTCCAACCCGGGAGAGCCTGGGAATTGACCCCCCCCATCACATCAAGCCTGCCCCCTGCCACAACCGGGCTTCTTTCTATAGCTTCTTTCCATAACTTGGTGATCGCAGAGCAAGCCTGCAGAGTGGTCGTATAAAACATGCATTCATTTATTCACACAACAGACTTTCCAGAAAGCTTTTATAGGTGCTCAGTGACTCCTCGTTATGTGGGATCGCCTGGCCTTGCCCCTGTGCAGCCGTGGTCCTGTGGAACCTGAGCCGGGCCCCCGAGATTCTCTGACTCTCCGTTCAGAACAGGGAGTATAAATGTTGTGGCTTAGCCTTAGGCAGCTTTGGGTGAGACACAGGCACCAGCAGTCCCTCCTGCAGGCAGAGCTCATTTTAAAAGATGAAAAACCACCCCGCGGCCTGTGCGCTCTGCGGCCCCCTCTGCCCCTTAGTTAAGGGGACAGAGTGCTGTCTGGAACGGCTCAGAGGGCCCTGGTCCCTAGCCCCACACTGCCCTGCACTTCAGACAGGGAAGAGAGTCGCAGAGAGTGGCATGAGGACTGAGAGGGGGGCTTTGGGAACTGGAGACCCTCGACGACAGGCCTCCCAAGATGGAGAGGTGCAGCTGCAGTGGTTGCTGGTCGGGAGGAAGAGCCATCTCCAGCTTAGAAGTCCCTGCCATCCGAAAGTAGGCTTTGTCAACAGCAGCTGAGAAGAGCAGCCTGGGCCTCCGAAGGCCAGTCCTGGGCCTTTGTCAGAGCACGACTCTCCCAGAGGCAACCGGGCCTCGGGCCTTGGGCCTCTGGCCTCACAGGTTCCCTCTTTGGAGCACTTTGCCTACCTTCCCGAAATCCCTCAGCAACCGCCTGCTGTGGCCTTTCCTGGGGTCCTGCCATGCTGATGACCTGTGTGCGCCTGGCTGCTCCCAGAAACGCAGAGGACCATGTGGGGCCAGCGGGGAGGGGTCTGCAGGGAGAGGTGACACCCGGCATCCAGGGGAGATGCTGCACGCTGGCCAGCAGAGGGGCACAGGAGCACAGGAGTGGGGAGATGGGGCAGTGTGTCCACGGGAGGGCAGGGCGCTGCCCCAGCTACCGTGTGAGGCCTGCTGCGGGCACAGAGCTGCTCGGTGCTGCCTTCACGCTTTGATCTGGAAAGGCTGATTACCCCGGAGCAGCTGTCCACAGGCCCCTGGGTCTGGAGACACAGGCCTGTCCCACGCGACTGGAAATACACTGACATGTGCTGTCTCCCCTCGAAGCTATTCCTGGCTGTTGTGGAATCTCCTCTGAACCAAGTGTCAGGTGTGTGCAGTCACAAAGGGCCCTGTGCCCTGAATAGATCCACTCACAGCACACAGGGAATGCGGAATTTAGCCCCGGGAGGGGGTCGCCTGGCCGAGGGGCAATTGTTCAGTCACCTAGCGCTTCCTGTGGCCATTGGCCTTCGGGGCATCCCATGGGTCCACCTGCCCACCCTGCTCACCTCACACAGCCAGGGTGTTGTCTGAGTCTGCAGCTGGAGCAGCCCATTCTGAGACCCAGGAAGTGCTGGTGACGCCCCAGTGCCCTCCTTCCTGCTGGCCCTGGCACAGCCCAGTGCCACCAGGATCAACTTACTGGCCAGGGTGCGGCCTCAGGAAACCCAAACTGGCCTCCGGACAGCGCTGGGGGAGAGGCCATAAATTGTCCCAGGCCCAACCTCCATAAACACCTGGCCTCTGGTCGGAACCTGTCAGCAGCACCCCACAGAGGGTCCCCTGTGGCTAAGTAAACACCTGAGGAATAATAGTCCCAGAGGAGGTGAGGTGTGCTCCCAGGAGCACCGTAGGAGGCCTGCACTTGGTCTTTTAAGAAACCACTTTAGAGAGAAGTAAGGATTGGAGGGGCTGGAAAGCATGTCCCCGAGAAAGGACGTCACGGATCACATAGCAGATTAGGAAAGAAGAAGGGGAGGGACTTTGGGGGCCGCTGTGGCCTGCCACTTTGAAAGCATCCTGCCCAAAGCCTTTGCCCTGAGGTGACAGAGGGAACCGAGGCTGTGAGTGGTGCCTCTGGGCCTGAGTGCCCTCCTCACCCCTTCTCTGCAGGATCTAGTCCCTGCTTTCTCAGCACTGGGCCGCCAGGGAAGGGAGGGCTGCGGGCAGCTGATCTTGTTGCCTCCATGGTAAATGCCTGCAGCCAGCTGGGAACGTGGTCTTAGCTGCGTTTCACAGTGTGCTTGGCCCCTCTGGAAGCACATGGCGCCCCGTGTTCCTCCCCGAGTGCCTAATCACTTGCAGAACAGAGAAGGTGTAGGCATGAAGCCCGGGTGTCCTCCACATCCCCCTCCCTTGTCAGAACAGGGTTGAGGCCCCTCTCTGGCTGTGAGTGAGGTAACCAGGCTGCTATAACTTCTGAAGTGTGGGCTCTGGCTCAAGATTCCAATCAGCCAGAAACCCACAAAGATCAAAGCACTAGCAAGGACAGCTGTTCTGGCCCTCAGGCCAAAGCGGTGCAGCCCCACCCACTCGCCCCATTGTCAGCCCAGGAGCTGGCCTGACACCAGTGGGGCACATAGGCCATCACCAAGCCCCATGCGTCCTGGGCACTTAATCTTCACGAGCACTTAGCAGTGGATGGCCTCCGAGATCCTGTCTCCCTTGTCTGATGAGGCCATCCCGCGTCTCCCACAGAGCCCGGCCCGCTCCCCACCCCATAGCCCAGTCAGCTGCCACCTTCTTGGGTTTTGGATCTCCTGTTTGATGTTTGAGGTCTGCTTTTGTTACTACCTTGGGAACTTTTAACCTTTTGATTGTTTCCTCTGGTGTCTTTGTTTACCTTCCTCACTGTTCTACCTCCTGGCCAGGTCTCTCAGCCTAGCTGCCCTGGCATGGGGTATTTCTCAAAACTTCCAGCTGCAGCTGCCTCCCCCCTCAGGTGGGACAGCTCAGGGGTGACGATGGGGCCTCAGCCCACTGCATGCAGACCCCAGGGAAGCCCATCACACAGGCTTCTGTGTTGCCAAGTCAGACATACTCAACAAGGCAGAAGTGGGGTGTGGAGGAAAGTCTGAGGTAAATCTTCAGAAAGGATGTGTCTTCGGGAGCACATAGTGGGGGACCCTTCCCTTCCTGCACAGGGAGCTGCCGTCTTGGGGTGCACGCAGCATCAAGACCTGCCCACATCCAGACTCACCTTCCCGCAGGGATCTTGACTTTGGATGACAAGGCTTTATTTGTAAATATGCTCTTAATATGCAACTTTGAGAATAAAATAGAAACATCATGTATTTTAAAATATAAGATGAAGTGTGACGCACTGTATACAATTTAATATATATTTTTAGGATTTTGTTATTTAAGAAAATGGTTAATGTAATGGTACTTAACTTTTACAAAAGAGAGAAAAATGTTATTTTTACTGTCTGGAGAAAATAAATATTCTCACTGTTGTAGAAACAGCGACGGGCCTTAGCATGTCGTTTTTATGGGGGCGCTCGCAACGAGGGGGTGTCGCGTGCTGGCAGACTATGCGCTCTTCTGAAGTCCCTGCAAATGCCAGGCCTCACTGTTTGCTCAGTTTTTCCTGTTAGTGCCCCCAGCTTTCCTCAGGTCGCCTCACAGCTTTGACCCACGGTGGATCTTCAGCAGCAGGTCAGATCTGAGCCCTTGGAATTCCAAGTGAACACCTTGGAACCTGGGGCGGGTCATGGGAAGAGGAAAGGGCTTTGTGCTCAGAAAGACCTAGGTTTGAGTTGAGCTTGAGTGGGTCAGCCCACTTCTCAGCCGCAGCTTCCCCTCCTGTAAAATGGCATTGTGTCTATGCCTCAAAAGGTTATGAGGATTAGGTGAGAAACGTATCTAAAGTGCTTGCGTCATTATTATCCCAGGTGGATTTCTTCTTGCCGTTCAGGGCAGCCCGTTCTTCCCCACCCCCTCCTTGGCTCCTGCCAGGTGCCGCACACACCCTAACAACCATCTGGTGGGTACCGTCGCCCCTGTCTCGCCGATGAGGAGACAGGCTCAGAGGGGAGCTGGAAGTAGTAGTTGGGAGCACAGACCTGGAGCCGGCCTGCTGGGACTCAGCTCCCACTATTCATTCGCCGAGGCCAGGGAGTGTAAAACAGGCAGCCTTTGAAGGGTTTTGGTGGAGGAGTGACATCAGATTCCCAGTTTAGAACGATTTCCTACTTGAGTTAGGAAAAACAGTTGGAGTGCGGTAAGGCCAAGGGGGAGGAGGCGAATCAGGAGGCCGGGAGATGCACAGGTCCAGCGAGAGATGCAGAGGGCCTGGCTGTGGAGGGAGGGGAGGCCCCAAGTGAGAGCACACCACAGCCATTGGCCAGGGCCTTGGGCTCACACCCCAGCCCCACCACTTACCATATGACCTTGAGCGAGTGACCCAGCCCTGTGCCTACTTTCTCATCTGTCAGCCGGGGACAATTACTGTATGTACCTCATAGAATTGGGATGAGGTACCTGTAGTATATTTTCAGAAAACGGCAGCTGTTCTTTGTTCTAGAATGAAGGGGCGGGGGGGTGGGGGGGCTGGTTAAGAACAAAGATGATGCCCAAGGATTCTGACTGGGGGCTGAGGGGAGAAGAGAAGGTTCAGTTTTTGAGGTAAAGATTGTGGATGGCACCAGTTGTGAGAGAAAACATGCTGAGTTCTGTCTGTCGAGTGAGGGCCCTGTGGGACACCAAGGCAGCCTGAGACCCACAGAGGGTCAGGCCCAGGGAGCAAAGTCCATGGAAACGTGGGCACAGATGACATCCTGGGGTGTGTGTGAGGCCATTCTGGAAGGCTGCTGAGGACAGTACCTCGGGACACACTCAGGCAGGTGAGGAGGAGCATGAGCCAGTCCTGGGGTCAGTGGCAGCCCCAGACGCCAGGCTTCTAACCTGAGTGGTGCAGGCACACACTCACACTGCCAGTTCTAGGAGCCCCAGTTCCAAATGCTCAGGAGGTGATTTGCCAGGTAAGGCCCCTGCCCCAGCCAGTCATGGCTAGGAGGAGAGGAGGCACAGGCCAGTCCAACACAAGAACATCACACAGACGTGTCTCTCAAAACATGCCTGGATCACTTGCCTCGGAATCCCTGATGTGCTTGTTCAAAATTCAGAGAGACGCGGACACTGGGCCCCACCCGAGACCTGCTGAGTCAGAATCCCTGGGAAGCTTCCTGAATGATGCCAGTGCTCACTGAAGTTTGACAGCCATTTTAATCTGAGAAGCTGGGTCAGTAGTCACCTCCTCCTTTGGGAAGCGAACTGCCCACACACAGACAGCTGTGCAAGTTCCAGTGGCTGCCTCCTTTGCCACAGGCAGCATATTGGTTATTCAAGTGCAAAGTCTATCGCTCAGGACAGAGAGGGGCAGGGGATGCAAGGCACGGCCCAGCAGGTATTCCAGATCCTTCTCCAGAAGGCACATTACCCCGACACGGAGCCCGAGCCCTCCTTTCCTGCCGTCCCCCCCACCCCCCGCTGGTGTGGGCCTGCACCGCCAGCAGCCAGCCTGGACACTGCCACGGCTGTCACAATCCGAGGTCTCCAGAAAGGCCAGCTTCACTTGAGTGTTTATCTTCTCTCTGTTCCTGGAAGCTCTTTCCTGAAGGAAAATATTTTTGATGGCGGGTGGCAAACAAATGGGGTGGCCTTGCTGGTGAATTTCTTAGAGACCGATCAGCCTGTGCCACAAAAATGGAGGCAGCCGGAGTGTGCAACTGTCCTGCCTAGAGCAGGACCATCCGAGTGGGCTTTGGGGACAAGCGACCGGGCCCTCATCCCGTCGTTCTTCTGAACCTGAGAGACATGGACACTGGATGACCCGCCCACCGGGAGCCAGCACCAGGGCGGCACCAGGGCGGCATCAGCCTCCTCCTTTGTCAGGCAATCAAAGGCCTTTCTTCCTGCGGAGACGAAATGGGCTGGACAAGAGTGACCTTGTCTCCCAGCTTGGAAGTCACATGATCGTCTCCTCTCCCCACTGGGCTGTGTGTGCCTGAAACTGCAGACAGTCTCTGGGACTCAGAACTGGGAAGCTTTTGTTCCTCTGTGGCAGGGTCGGGTCCCCATGGGGGATTGTTTGTGCTTGGCTGAAAGGGACACTTTGGGGATAGAATATTTCAACCTCAAGAAGCAGCAACATTTGCTTGTAGCTGGAAATCCTCATTTCTGGTCTCCAGCTGTTGTCTGGAGCCACCAGGCCCCAGCAGAATGGAACTCTGCCTGGCAACGGGGGGCAGGCGGCACCAGGCTGGGCTGGCTGGGGACCAGCCCGTGTCCAGGAGGCCCGTCTCCAGGACAGCCCGGCAGGCAGCAAGGATGCCGGTGGCCCTCCTCCCGAAGGCGGTCACCAGGTTCCGGAATCAACCTGCTAGTGGTGGAAGCCTGGGCCAGGGAAGGGCTCCACAGAGAAGCATTTTAGGAGGAAAGCAGATGCAAGCTTCATGTCCAGAGTAACTCCTCAGGGGAAAATCAGAAAGGACTGAAACAGCCAAGGCTTTTGCAACTGAGGAGCTTCAGATTTCACGAATTTCACTCTTAGGAATGTTTACCATTGTACCCGTTCAAATGAGGCCACCAAACTTTTAAAAACTTAATAGGGGTCTGCTACTCTGCACATTGGTGGCGTGAATCCATCCAATGAACATGCCTTAGCTGCCAGCACCAAACATAAACTCGGATCAAGAGCACTCAAGGGGTATTTCATCCTCCTATTTGGCCCAATATGGGGCAGCTTTTTGATGGGTCTGGGGTAGGGAAAGAGCTTTTCAAGGTGCAATGATAAGAATAATGATGATGGGGCGCCTGGGTGGCTCAGTCGTTAAGCGTCTGCCTTCGGCTCAGGTCATGGTCTCAGGGTCCTGGGATCGAGTCCCACATCGGGCACCTTGCTCTGCAGGAGGCCTGCTTCTCCCTCTCCCACTCCCCCTGCTTGTGTTCCTGCTCTCGCTGTCTCTCTCTCTGTCAAATAAATAAATAAAATCTTTAAAAAAAAAAAAAAAAGAATAATGATGATGGTGATGATCATAATAATAATAGCCAGACACTGTGCCTAGCACTTGGCAGACAAGACGGAATTCATCTTTGGGACAACCCAGCCTGTGAACCAGAAGGGGCTCAACCCAGTGGATGGCAGAGCCAGGACTCAGCCCACGTCTGCTGGCTCCGAAGCCAGGGCACCTTACTCCTGGTGGCACCACACACCTCTTCCACCCAGGCAGGGG